AGTGGACACCGAAGTTTCTGATGCATTCACAAGAATTTTAGTTGGAGAATGTTATTTGAACGAGGCAACATGAGACGCGGTCGCAGGTTAAACAGCGCACGGTAAAGTAGTGGTCATTTGTTGAGTCTGTTTCAAGCCGCCTGCACAAACCTGACGCTCGGGAAAAAATCGGCATCTTATTCGCATGCAGTTTCTCTGACCCTTAGAGCTCTTATGAATTTAATCCTATCAGCCGAAAGCGATGCCTGAAATGTTTCATTCGTCATACTCATTTTTTGGTGAATTGTATTGTCTCTAGACTTTGTGCTTGGTGCCAGGGATTGATTCGGCTGTTGAAAGCTCTTGCCGAAGTTTTGGGGCTCTTTATGATTTCTCAGAAGGTCCATTATCTGCAATCATATTTATGTTGCTTCTGGGTGTAACCATCTCAGACGTCTAGCGAAAATATAAACGTGGTTTTGGATGAAAAGTGCGCGAAAATCAGCAAAAGTTTTTAGAACAGATAAAAGGCAATCTTTTGATCACGAAACGCAATTTCCTACATAATAATCGCCGGGAATCGTTCTATTTCCTCCTATTAGGAAATGTGGCAAAAATTAAACAAAAATAAAAAATACATAAAAAATTAAGTACTTTTTTCTCGGAATGTCACCCTAAGCGTCAGTTACGTAGACGAATGCGAGCAGTCATGACTAAAAACCGATATCCTTCCTTACACCAATTAGCTTAGGATTATCCTCCGTGATTGCTTTCTCTGGAACTTAGACGTCTTTGACTTGCCAAGGCATGACTGGATGATTCAATCCCTCATTTTTTTAGTTTTGCCACTCACTGGACCTAACTGCACTTCATATAGCGGCAGGTGTTTGACCTTCATTCGACCAATCGTAAGTCTGGTCACCACCTGCTACCGGATAAGCAAGCATGCGCACGTACACCGTGCAAATAGTCGGCAGACGGGTCTATCGGACGGGTCATAAACACTTCACTGAAGTGAGACTCATCAGTGCCTCTCGGCCATCTGGAATTCTCTGGGTGATTATTCATGCAGGAATGGGCACGCACCGATATAGTGGCTTGCCGAACTGCGACCGATACAACGTGTGGACTGAGGGTGGCTTAGAAGGTTGTTGTCTGTTTGTGATGTTTGTCAGTCATTTGGAGATTGTTTGCTTCGGAAATCCAGTAGACTTGTGTGCACCCATTCTCCCCATCATTGGCGAAACTGTCAGGTTGTAAGACAGTGATGACCTTCGGTTTGATTAAATGCCTATTATCCACAAGGTAGACCCCCGGCGGTTGATCACTTGCGCTGTGTACATGTGTGACCGGATGGTGGTCAGGTCTGCGATTGGCTGGGTGAAGGCCAAAGAAGCACAGACCCCGCAAATGGTGGGCGCATTCAGCATGCTTTTTCATCTACTGTCAATGACTGTCTAAAGGCAGTAACTAATTGCAGGAAGTACTATATGAGTTCCCGTGTTCATAGCTGATAGCCTGATAGGACGCAGCAATGACTGTCATATCGTAGTTTATTCATACAAGATAAAGGACTGTGATTCTAAGGATACGTAAGTTTCCTCCGTAGATGGTTCGGATTATTCTAATAGTCGCTGAAAAAAACTCAACTAGCCTCAGTTTAGACAATGCAGACGAATGAATTATATTGTAGCAGAATCACAGGAAGCTGTGATTTGCAAATCACACCTCCATTGGTAGATGTATATTTGTAAACTCGAAAACCCAAATAGTGTTTTCTGATTAGTTGTGATGCCTAATTAATGCGCTGAACTAAAACCGGCTGATTATAGGAGAGAAGTGCTTGTGGTTATTGCGACTGAGTTTATCATCTGTGATAGGTCATCACCACCAGCTCTGAGGATCTTACTTTCAATCCCACTAACCCTGTGAGCTTTCCACTGCGCGCGCAATCTGTACTACTTTTAGTATGTTAATGCCCACAATTTCATATGGATTTTCACCCTGTCTCTCTTGACGCCTCTCACTACGCTTTCCATGCAAAGATAAGCACTTTTTGAATTGGTCAAGTGAGTAACTAAATTCAAAACGGTAAGTCAGGCAGGTGCAACAGGCACGGTGAATTGTGCGTGGATTAGTTTATACTGAAAGTGGACTTGCACACCATCTACCGCACTCCCCCGCTCCCTTCCCACCTGGACTCGGTGTCCAGACAGAGCCAAGAAGACCGGAAGCCAGGGAGGGCGCAGGGGCATAGCACGGTCGAGCCCGCACCTTTACGCTCCACTCCACGGCCTCTGGTCCACATAGAAAATGACCAGGTTTTCGACCAACAGCAAAAGCGTAACTGGCACGGCCGAGACGGGACCCGTCACACCCGTCTCGAATCCCACTCAATGGGAGTGCTATAAAGGCCACATTAAGAAGGATCCATTGCGGTCTTAATCTTAGATCCCCAGTCGGCTGTTCCACGGATAAATGCAACACTGGGCCGACTGCGAAGTCCAAGTTATCCTGTCAGTTGGCAACCTTCCGAGCCACGGCTTTTAGCGCACCGTAATAACTTCATGCGCATCAGATTATTTATAGTAAAGAAGATGCGCTGAGTCGTCGACTTCACTCTACCTTCCCCTTCCCAGGCCCCAGTCACTGTTTTAGCCGGTCATTTGAGAGGTGTGGGGAATGGGCGCAGTGACTGGCACATCTAGTGACCTTGTCTGGTCGCGCCCCATGCATGATCTGATCCTCCAAACACGAGCACTAGGATTTCGCACAACGGGATTGGGACGGCGTACATCTCACATGCGTGAGAGTGTCGTAAGTCACGTTGGGAAGGAGCCACTTCGGCCTGGATCTCAGTCCACCAGTCCGCCACTCCACACAGACACACACACACACACAAGACAGTTCGTCCGTCGATTTCGACGATGACCACCGTGTGCCCCACAGACTGCATTGTGGGAGCAGGGACGGTGACTTGCGCAGAGGTTTATAGTGCCAGTAGACTTGCGCTGCATCTACCTACACTCCCTCCTCCTCCTCCTCCTCCCCCGCCTGGGCCCGGTGTCTAGACAGAGTCAAGAAGACCGGAGACGAGGGAGGCCGCAGGTGGATGGCTTGGACGGATCCTCGCCTTGGCGCTCCACTCCGCACCTCCTGGTCCACACACAAATGACCAGGATTTGACCACAAAAGAATGGGGTGGTGGCAGTGGTCCAGTTGTGCGACAAATGCCGACAACAGGGTCCGCCAGCGCACCCCGCACACACACACACACACTCAGCTGGGTAGACTGCATGGACTGAGCTGGGACATCAGTCAGCAGCCTTCCAAGCCACAGCGCTTAACGCGCTGTGATAGCTTCAGACTCGAATCACACATGCAGCAAAGAAACACTATGGGGACGGAGTTGAGATGCACACTTCCCGCTTGCGTGGAAAGTGGAAATTGGATGTTTGTGATGGATGATGATGATGCTGCGTGATGTAGGTGGGGGACGACCTGATGGTGTGATTAGCTGGCGTTTGTCTACCACAGGTGTTTATGGATGCTCATGTGGTTCAATAGGGGTTAAAAGGTCTGAAAGCGTGTGTTATGCCAGTATCAACAGACCATGGCTCTCGCAGCCTGACAGTTCCCTGACACCTGATTCCCCGCCGGTAGATGCGCTTGCGATCGCGCTGGGTATACAAGTGGTGGGCATGGCCACCCAGATATCCCCGTCCTTCCTGCCCTTGTTGGGGTGTTGGTGTTGTTGTTACTGCTGCTGCTGCTGTTGTCGGTCGAAAACCTGGTCATTTGCCGTGTGGACCAGGTGTTGTGGAGTGGAACGCCAAGCTGTTGGCTCAACCGTGCCATCCACCTGTGCCCCCCTCGCCTCTGGTCCTCTTTACTCCGTCTTGACACCGGGTCCAGGTGGGGAAGGCGGACGAGGGAGTGCGGTAGATGCTGCTCAAGTCCAATATCACTATCAACCAATTAACCCGCAAGTCACCGTGCCTGCTGCGCCTTGCTGTGTAGCACATGTAGACATCGTCGGAAACGACGATCGAACTGTCAGCCTAATAGGCCCATGCGGTGCATAAATGTGCGCGTGCAGTGAGGGCAGTTGTGGCGGATGAGTCTGCAGTATGTTGGTGTTCAGGGCACTGGTTCGCCAGTCTCTGAGTGACGGATTCGCAAGTCACCGACCAGGTCGATACATGAGGTTAATTTCCGGGGACAGTGTGGAAATGAGAAGTCGGTGGTGCCAGTATCAGCTTCGGTGATGTAGATGGTGGAGCTGGTGGTTGTGGGCGCGCTGGACGACGGGGCGGGGGTTGGTTTGAACGTGGCAGGTGTGCAAGAGGTACTGAGTGTGATGGAGCTGGTGGGGTGTAGGGGTGTCAGCGGTGGGTTCACGTGAAGGTCGTAGTGGTCGCTCACTTGCTTGCAGGTGAGACTACGCCTAGCGTCCACTTGCTGGCACTCAACTCTCACCTGTGGCTCCACGTAGCTGGGCTCTGCTCA